TGCCATAGGGTCCTAGGGGATTATGCCCCTGATTAGGTCATCAAGCCCTAATCATTGAAGGGTTGCGCCGCATTGCGGCTTTCTCGGGATTTGGGCCATGAAGGCCGCCTTTTTCCCACTCTTTTGGAATGACACGTGTCAAACAAGGGTTGGTCCATTTTGGACTAACCCTAGGGTGACACGTGTCACTTTCTGGTTGGACCACGTGGCAGGGTAAAATTACCCCAAACACAAATCTATTACTACCTTTGATTTTTTTTAGTTGCAACTTCGGGCTATTATTTGTGAGATATAAAAATATTCCAAAATTGCAACTAATAAAAATCGAAGGTATCATTTTAAATTATTTTAATCAGTTAAATGAAAAAATTATTATGTATTAAAGATTTGTCATACAGAGTAATATTTATGGAAAACGGAATAATAACTATGAGGTATATATTTACTATAAAAAGATACGTATAAAATATTTAAAATAATATTACGATAGTTATGTTATACCAAACTTCTTAAAGAAGATTTTAGCAAAAAAATGGAAGGGTTTTTTTGGAGGGAAAAAACTGTTTCAGGGAAAAAACTTTTTAAATGAAGTGGCAATCTTAGGTGGCGTATATACTTTATACATTGACATGCCAGTGTGACATAGCACATATAGTTTAAATAATGCCATATGGCATCATTCCTTTGAAAGGGACAACTTTTAAATATAGTATAGATTTAGATATAGATTTTTCAACTACCGTCCTCGTCAATCATTACAACTATCGAATAATTTTCTTTGATTGGGTTACATTAAAACTGTTCATTGAATGCAGTTTTCTTCCGGGTTTACTTCGTACAAAACCGCTACTTCAATCAATGGTTTACCCTTGCTGAGTGTTTTTATAAAACAAAGAATATCTTTAAAGGTGTACCATCCAATGGGGTGACCCATATTTGGTCATTGGTGAATGTTACCCTCTTTTGAGGTGTATCCTCCACATCAAGCAAGTTCATTACATTATCACCTTGATAAGCTAAAATACGGTCCCTAAACTATACCATTAGTTGCACATTTGGTCCCTTATCTTTGAAATGAGGCAAATTAGTCCCTCTACCACCCTTGGCTCACCAATTCTGGTGGAGGAAAATCCGAGTCAGCAAAGTTGAAGGATGTTTACTGCCAACTAAGCCAAAGTTTAGGGACTTCTCTAGTTGAGTCAGCATTAGTTTAGGGACTGCACTTCTTTTTGCCAAAAGATTAAGGAGCTGCATGCTTACATGAATATTTTCAATTGAAAAAATTGGTAGTTTGAAGATTAGAGGCTCTGCATTTAATTATAAAGGATTGTTATAGCAAAAAATAACCAAATTCCAAAATAGTTACAAAAAACTGGCCGTTACACACAAAAGTGGCTATACATATTGATGTTGGTAGCCATTAAAATCATCAGACCATTAAGCAAAAATTCTTCCAAAAGAAAAAAAATAATTGTTGTAGTGAAGAAGAAAGCTCCTTCCAATGTATCTGCTCTGCAATAAAATTAGTAATTAAGGTATTTAGGAGTTGATCAAAATTAGAAGATTTAAGCAATATTAATATGTTTATTGATGACAGGCAATGTCTAGATGTAGCAATGGATCAAGTGAAAGTGGTCAAAGGTGTCATTGTGAGCTAATAGTGTCAAAGACAAGGTCATGGACGAAAGATAACCGAGGAAGAAGGTCACTAAACTTTACCACTTCATTAATTAAATAATGCCAACTCATACCGAGGTCCTTCCTTAAACTTTGATTAATTTTTTTTTCTTTTGCCACATGGGCACTATAGTCCCTAAACTATGGTGACTCATCATTTTTTCACCGGAAAAAATCATGTAAGGGTGGCAGAAGGACCAATTTGCTTCATTAAAAAGATGAGGGACCAAAATGCTACAAATACAATAGATGAGGGACCCTATTTATGCTTAACTCCATTATCTACTAGTATACCACTTTTACACTTTGGGTGAACTAGATTTCCGACTTGTGTCTTCTTATTTGAGTTGATAATATGAATTATGATGTCTGATCATCATTCTTTGTAACTTTTAAGTAGGTTTTTCTATATGATTTCATAGCGAAGTTTTTCTAGTATTCATCAATAACTTGATTGTTTGAGCATCGACAATGTAATAGAGTAGCTCATGCATATTAGAAAAAATTGAAATAATTAAAACAAGGAGCATATATATGTCCGTTATTCAAGTCAATCTTGTATCCTTTTGTTATAATCAATTACCGGAACATGTGATGGTTCGGAGATTTTTGTAAAAAGAACAATTACAAAAAAAAAATAACTGAGAGAAAAAAAATACTCCCCCCGTTTCATAATATTAGTCCCATATACTATTTTGGGTGTTTTAAAAAGTTCTACCCATATTGAATATATTTCATTTATGACTTGATTTTTTCGGCTATTTCACCAAATGTCACTAAGTACATTCAAAATTCACCAAATGCCATCAATGTTTTCAAAATTCACCAAATGACATCGAGCTTTTAAAAAAATCACCAAATGTCATTAATGACTAACGGTCGTTAAATCTTGACACGTGTCATAATATGATTGGTTCATTTTAATTATTTATTTTAATTAATAAAAATAATTTTTTTTTCTTCATCTTTGTGGCAAAAATTGCTCGGGTATAGTTTAGGGGGTCATTTTGAAACTTTATGGGAACAAATTAAGCTCGGAATTGACAAAAAATAACGTAAATGCTCCGTTTTGAATGTTGAAAAATATTTCAATTAGCGTGTCGTTATTTTTTAACCATCAAAATTGATCGGGTAAGGTTTTGGGGTCATTTTAATTCTTTATGAGTACAAATTAAGCTCAGAATTGACAAAAAAAACGTAAATGCTCCGTTTTGTGTGTTGAAAAATATTTCGATTAGCGTGTCGTTATTTTTTAACCATCAAAATTGATCGGGTAAGATTTTGGGGGTCATTTTGATTCTTTATGGAATAAATTAAGCTCGAAATTGACTAAAAATAACATATATGCCTCATTTAGTATGTCAATATCGTAATTTTTTCGGAAAAAAATGCAAAACTGGGTATTTACGTTTTTTTTTTTCCAATTTCTAGTTTAATTTGTACTCATAGAGGGTCAAAATGACCTGTGAAACCTTACTCAAACAATGTTTGTCACGAAAATCAAAAAAAAATATTATTTTTGTTCATTAAAATAAATAATTATTATGTATAAATTTTAAAAAGTAATGACATTTGTTAAAATAATTTTCCAAAGTAATGGCATTTGGTGAAACAAGAATTGCATTAATGGAAAACTGACGTCCATATGCTATTAGTGGCACGATGTGTCATTGTGATGTTTGTCAGTGGCATTTGGTGAATTTTAAAAACTTTGATGGCATTTAGTGAATTTTATAATTACTCAGTGGCATTTGGTGAAATAGTCGTGATTCTTTTTGGAATTAATTGATTGTGGATTGATGACATGACTCTAAGTAAGAAAATTTTTACCTTAAATTATGCAATTGTGACTTGTGTTTTCCTAATAAAAAAAATAAATAAATAAAAAAAAAGTTAAATAAGGTAAACTAATTATGAAATCTGTTATACTTTAATGTTATATTCCAAATATATTTGTTTTCTTATTTTATGTGATTGATTCCATATGGGACTAACATTATGAAACGGAGGGAGTAATATACTTCCTCCTTTCTTTTTTACTTAACCCGCTTTGACTTTTATACTATTCACCACCGCTCCTTTGACCGTGTTTTCTGAATAATATGTAAGGAAAAACATATTCATGTTGGATCATTTTGAATTCGTCTCGATAAGAACTATCATAATATATAACTTATATTTTTCAATTATGGAAAATTAAAATTATTGACCGTCAAAGTTTTGCATTGGCAAGCGTGATAAAATAAACAGGTCAAGTAAAAAAGAACAGAGGAAGTATACATATACATGAGGAAATGAAAAGGAATCCAGAGTACAATATATATATATATATATATATATATATATATATATATATAGAAATGGGATCATGTGAAAACCCATGGCTTAGGTGAGAACCATTTTAAAATGAGAACTCATCTAACACCATTCATTTTTATTAGATGAATGGTTCAGATTTATTGTTTCATTAGTGAGAATTCACGTGGGCCACCTTCATTTATTGTAATGATTGTTTGTATTTTTTTTTTTTAATTTTTGTGCATTGGGACACAAAATCTGCCAAAAGTTCTCATTATTACATGCTTTTTATTATTTATTGCATTGAAACACGTTACGTTAAAATGTAGTTGAAGTGTACGTCGTTAATGATGTTTCGTAGAATATATCAAGTGTTTCAATTTATAATATTAATGTTTCATATATATTATTGCTTGTTTCATATAGTTGGGCTCTATATGAACTAGGTGTACTGTGATTTCTTATACCTTATCTGATGTTTCAAAAAATATACCTTATGTTTCATTTTATAGTGCTTATGTTCCATAAAATATATGTGTTGTTTCATATACTAATGATATTGTTTTATACATAGAAATCATTGATGTTTCATATAATATTTCATCGAATATTATTTATATTGTTTCAGAAATTTGAATTATTGTCCCATAAATATTATACTCCATACCATATGTGTGAAATGTACCAATGACTGAAATGCATGTTCCCAAGAAAATTAAAAAGCATGTACCAATGACTGAAATGCGTGTTCCCAAAAAAATGCATGGGAAATTGATAATTAATCTCAGCCATCCATTAAGTGTAGTTGGTGTACGTTAATGATGTTTCGTAAAATATATCAAGTGTTTCAATTTATAATATTAATGTTTCATATATATTATTGCTTGTTTCATATAGTTGGGCTCTATATGAACTAGGTTTACTGTGATTTCTTATACCTTATTGATATTTCAAAAAACATACCTTATGTTTCATTTTATACTACTTATGTTCCATAAAATATATTTATTGTTTCATATACTAATGATATTGTTTTATACATAAAAATCATTGATGTTTCATATAATATTTCATTCGAATATTATTTATATTGTTCCAGAAATATGAACTATTGTCCCATAAATATTATACATTGTTCCATACCATAAATATTATACATTGTTCCACAGGTCATATGCAACAGGAGGGCGATATGGATATGTAATCCAATGTACCTGTAAAGCCAGGGGTGCAGTTGGTGAATTCTAGTTCTCCACTTGTGCAGACATAGACACTGCTAAAAGGAATGGGCAACTCATCAAGACATTCAACGGTATACTCCAAAGAAGAGCTGCCGGAGATTAGGTAATTGTACACCTTGTAGACACAAAATGAGTAAACTTTTAGATCTTAAACCAAGCAGTAGTGGCAGAAATCCCAAGGTACTAACTGTATTCCCATTAAAATTAAAGTAAACAAAATACTGTATGAAATTTGGCAAGCTATGGTTGCTCAAGCTCACTGTTTGGCAGGGAAGGCGCGTTGGCGTGATTTACTTTGTTTCCGTTTTTAGTTTCTTTGTTGTTTGTTTGTAAGTTCTTTTGTCAAAAAAAAAAAAAAAAAAAAAATGGCAAAATGATTATAAAAATTAGTATATCATGATTCTAGGATCTACACTCTTCAGGATTGGCTAATTGACAATGTAAATAGACTGAGTTAAAAGTCTATAAACTATAGTAAATTGTATATTTTCTTTCCTAGCATGTAAACAGATTCATGCACATAGCCAGCACCCATCATATAGTAAATCATTCTTTTTTTTTTTTTTTTTTTTTTTTTTTAAAGATCATATAGTAAATCTTGACTATAATATATGAGAGAACTAATTATATATGCCATGGAAAAAAGTTGGAAGTATGAGGAAAAATCTTTCAGCAGAAAAAGATGCAGTCCATAGCACAAGATATGGTAAAGGAATATTGAACATACATTAAATTATAGTAAAAGTAGAAAAGGTAATATATCCTACCTGATCTCCTGAGATAGAGTTGAAGTCTGGTCACTATTAGAAATTTTTCACAGTTTTGAATTGGTCTAAAAGCAACAGTAGATATTTAGCTTGAGCCAGCTTTTATCATCAGGCCATTTTGGATCCCTGGAATAGATGATAACCATTCAGATCATCAAAGGTTTTTCTTTTCTTGGAAGTAAGAATGCCAACCAAGGTACAGAACACATAAGCCAAAGTAATAAAATAATTAAAGCAGAGAACTTACCAATATAACTGTGTATTTACAATAGTAAGAAGAAGCTGAGAAAGATTCTTTAGTCGATATGCAGCCATAGTTCCAACACAATCACGATTTAATCTTACACGAGGATCATTAGTGACATTAGGGTTTCCACGGTCTTTTTCAGAACTTTTCTCTGTCGAACCTGAATCCACAACCAAGCAGTCAAATGAAAGTTAATAAACCATGACTGATTGACTGAAGTATTGGTTCACATATCTTATGTGGGTGAATATTAGAAAGAGAAAGAATCCAATGAAAACCAGTCCACAGCTAAAATATAATACTCCACAGAAGTTTCCACATCTTCAATTCTCCATTTACATTACATACAGAGTAATAATAAAGTGCAAGAACATTTGGGCGAGAATCACAGTAATATCCATTTACGTTCAGAACAGCAAGAGGGATCTCAGATGGAAATCAAGATGATAAAACAAGAAAAATTAGAGGGATAAAGTAGGGGACATTAGAAGAGACGAGTAGGAGATTTAGAAGGAATATACAAAGCAACTGCTACCACAGGATTGGGACTTGTTTCTGTCACTTTGGACAGTGTGGTGGTCACAATGCCAGGTTACAGTTATATCCATTAACAAGATGGAGAAAGCTGGGATAACAAGGAATACAGAGCTGTTCAGGATTTTGTTCATTTGCAATTTTTTATAACTAACCAGCAAACCGAAAGTACAGTGACTGCAAGTTACATGTTAACCTTTGCAATAAAATATGCAACATAAAATAGAATTTACAGGGCAATAGCCAGCTAAAGCATTCAAAACTTAAAAAGAAAATAGCCACACAAAAAAAGAGCCAGCCAACATCTTAAATATGCAAAAAGCCTTAGTATATCTTGTGACTTTCATGTTTGCAATAGGAAAAATAGAGATAGCATGAAAATATGAAGGATTAGGAAAAAGAAAAAAAAAAAAAAAAAAAATATATATATATATATATATATATATATATATATATATATATATATATATATATATATATAAAGATTTTGCAATAACATAACGCAATTCAAAGTCCTTGCGTCTCCAGCCCCTCCACACATTTTGAATAAAAGCTGGAAAGTAAATCGCATATCATGAGGACATCATAATTAAAGAGGAGACGTGAAAAAATAATAACCTTGGATTTCTTCAACTTCTGCATTTCCTCCAGCCACTGAATAGCACTATTCATCACACTACTATTTGTGTTACTGTTGATAGATTTCACAAGATCAGTAATCAGTACATTCAATATCTTCTTGTAAGACCAACTCTGCACTGGAGTACACCAAAATCTATGGTAAAGCTACGAAGTAGGTATACCAGAAATGCTGCAACACTAGAAAGATCTTAAAGCATAAAAGGCAGAATTTATTTTGCTCAAAGGTTAGGGTAAGAGCATTTTTTATCTTTTCTATCCAAAACACAGTAGTTGCTAGGTTAATATATAATTATATGGACAAAAGGAAATGGATTTTGCTATACTTAATTTATGTTGTCATAAATTCACACCATATTTTGTGCCATTAGAAGAACGAGACCAAAAAGGGCAAAATTTTGTGTAAATGTGATCCACAACTAGCTTAATCATCTATATAACAACAATCAGTATTGAGCTTACAAGTAATTAACAAGTGAATGAATAAAATACAGTCTTTATGATCTCTTGTTTTTTTTATTGTATGACATCATTTACACACAAAAAACATGGTCCTGACATCACATCTACCACTATATGAAAATTGGGTGGTCGTAAATGAACGTAACCTGTTCCAACCTTTACACTTTTAACGCTCTCAATTTTTTTTAGCACTTAGACCACAACAATACACTATCATATTATTCGGTATAAATTAAAAACATTAATAAGTCAAAGCTTCAAAAGTCTGAAACTCGGTATGGAATTCACAAACTATAACTTTGTATACAGCAGAAATCAAAAATAATAATAGCCTGATTATCAAGGTTAGTAGAAAAATACATAGGAGTCAGACAGCACCATGTACCTGGCCAGCTTGTAAAAGATTCCACATCCATCACGCTTTTGGCCATTCCTCTGGAAATAGATGCTTGAGAATTGAAGTTATTCCATGTTGCCATATATATAAGATATAAGATAAACACAAACTACTGCTGTCACAGAGAAGCTAAAGAATCTGTATGCAGAGAAAATCGGAACCAAAATCTCTCAGAACAGTTACAAAGGCTTTGGAACGAGCCTTCCATCTGCAAAAACACAAGACCAACCTTCAGTTAAAAGTTACTGCTTGACTTGGATAGAAGTGTAAGATTATTTTTGTTAAAATTAGCACTTTCTATCTTCCTATCTTAACACCATGCAGCCCTAAAGTTTTATCCAACATTCCAACCCTTGTGTTAGATCCATCTACCAAGGATAAACCCAGAACAATCAGTCTCAAATTCAGTACTACCACACTCCTAATTATATAACCTGTCATAGATCTAGAAGTTTTTATAGTCAAATGCCTAAGCAAATTATTCATATATAGTACTTTAAAAAACGAGAATTATAGAAAAACATAAAAGACTACAAACAAAAACCCTCCTTGAAAGAAAATTCATGAGAAAACAATAAGAAACATGTTGAGTAAAGCCAGAATGTTTGACATAATAGCTGAGGTTGATGGTTACATCAAGGGATATATAGCACAACTCCTTCAACTTTCTAATACTGTAATTTATGTGCCCCAACTCATTATACCCGGTTAATCATAAAAACAAAGTTGATGCAAAAATATAAATAGATACTTGTGAAAAATTCACACATATTGAAAAATTGGCCATGTGAAACAGCATGGATGCATATTATTTACCAATAGATGTAGGATCAAACATCAAATAAAAAACAGAATTAAAAATAAATAAAGTACCTGAGGCAAGATTTTGGGGAGTGTGGAAAATAGGTATTCTTCACAAATACCTGCAAAATGGAATCAAATATTAATTACACCATAAAATTTGAATTTAATTTTAAAACCACCAAACTGTTCTCTCTAAAAGGAGGGTAACTTAGCAAGATTTACAATTGACATCACCTAATAACATTCTAACCAATCATATAGGTGTCAAACAATTGACTACCGCTACTATCATCCAGATCCAGACAAACACTACTTAATAACAGAACTCAAATCTACACATATTCCAAGAATTTAAGTATATTCACCTTTCACCGCATCAACAAATTTTTTAATCAAGAAAGAGCTTCACTAATTGAAGGCTTGCCAGGGCCAAGAGACACAGCAATGAGACTGTTCTCTCAACTCTCAAGTGATCTACCTGCATAAAGTGAAAAAACAGGACTATCAATAGATAACTTATTGAGAAAGATGCTTTTCAACGCAATATAGGAACATGCACAGCTAGGGCTAAAGACACCATGAAGAGCCAAACCATTTAAGATTTTCAGAAATCATCTTGATCAGTCTTGGTTTTTAAATGCCATTGGTTGTGCCAACCCATGAATCAAGGTTGTATATGTTACATCATCCATAAGAACTCCCTGTTGTGCCATAGTATCAGTCACCGTAAATGCTTCACCCATCTTTCCATCCTTGCACAAACCACTAGTAAGAGCATTATATGTAACGTTATCAGGAATGATTCCATCATGAATCATTTTCTCCAAAAGCTTAGCTGCCTTTTCGGCATCACCCATTTTAGAGTACCCATCTATCATAATTGTATAGGTGATTTTATTTGGAATTATGCCATTCATGCACATCTCTTGCAAGATAGCCTCCACCTTATCCATCTGACCAAGCTTACAGTAACCACCCATTAAGGCAGTAAAGCAGTAAACATCAGGATTCAGACCTTCCTTGCTCATTTCTTCAAGAAGGTTCCTAGCTTGGTCAACACTACCAATGTTGACCAGTCCATCTATAAGACAGGAATATGTGACAGAAGTTGGCGCAATGCCTTTGCCTTTCATGTCATCACGAAGTTGAAAAGCGTTGACCATATTGTTTGCTCTACAATATGCAGAAATAAGTGAATTATAAACAACCGAGTTTAGCTCTAATTTCTGAGCAAGCAGCTTATCGAAAAGTCTAAATGCCTCTTCAATCTTTCCAGCCTTGCCATACCCATTGATCATAACAGCATATGTATGAACATTTGCAACCATACCACTTGTTTTGCACTCCTCCCAGAGCTTCATAGCTTCAATAATTTTATTGGCATTACACAGTCCATGCAGTAGAATGTTGTACACATGAATATCTGGTTGTATACCACGCTTTTCCATCTCATTTCTCAAATTAAAAGCTTCCTCCAATTTTCCATTTTTACAACAGCCTGAGATGAGGGTATTGTATGTGATTCTATCCAATTTAAAACCCCTTTTAATCATTTCCTTGAGAAGCCTAGCAGACTCATGCATGATACCAGCTTCACAAAGTCCATGAATTAAAGCGTTTGAAGTCACTATATTTGGTGTAAACCCTTTCTCCACAAGTCTAAACCAGAATTTAACAGCGTGTGCATGTTTACCCTCTTTACAGTTTCTAACCATAATTGTAGTAAGCAGGCCATCACTAGGCCTTAAGTTTCTCGATAGCATCTCTTCAATGATACACAAAACAGAATCCAATGTGCCATTCATACCAATACAGCAGATGACAGAATTAAAGGCCCCTAACTGTACTGATAACCCTCTATACAACATCTCCTGCAATAGAGATTGAGCCTGCTCTGCCATATTACACTGACAAAAGCCATGAAGAAGTGAATTAAAGGTTGATGAATTTGGACTAATCCCCCTTGACAACATAGAATCTTTTAAACTCAATGCCTCCCCAACTTTTCCTACTCTACAATACCCATTAATCAATGAGTTATAAACAATTTCATTAGCAACCAAACCCTTCTCTGGCATTTCCTGTAGTAAGTGATTCGCTTCGTCAAACTTCCCAAACTTAACTAAACCATTAATAAGACCTCCATAAGTTACAACGTCAGGCATCATACCATTCCTTACCATCCTCTCTTTAAATCGAAATGCCTCATCTAAACCATCACACCTACAAAGTCCATGAATAACATTGTTGTAAGTCGCAACATTAGGTGAAATCCCTACTTCCTCCATCTCCATAAACAGCTCAATCCCATCCTTAACCCTCCCACCTTTGAAATACGAATTAATAGCCGTGCTAAACAGATAAACATCAGGCACAACTCCTCTCCGCATAATCTCAAACGCCTCGTAACTTCTTTGAACCTCGCCAGCCATAACCAGCGAGCTCAAAAGGAAATTACACGTCTTCAAAGACGGAAAAGCTCCCCTCCCAGCCATCACCTTAAAAACCTCGAAAGCTAACCCATAACCGGCATTCTTAATCTGAGTGCAATAAACATGAACCAACAAATCAAACGTTCGATTCCCAACCGACTTCTCAAACCCGCCATTCAAATCAACCAATGCAACAGCAATCTCAATATGTCTATCACTATACTTCTCAAAAACAGTAGGAGCTTTCCCATCAATCAAACGAATCAACAACAACCTAGCAGAATCACTAAAATTCGACCCAACAAGCAAACGAATCAATTCGCAATAGGATTTAACACTAAAAGAATACCTGCATGAATCAATCCCATAATAAAAGAATTGCAACACTGTTTTCGGATGAACCAATGACTTAATTTCAGTAAAAACACGATCAAATTGAGAAGGGGATACAAGAGTTAGAATTTCTTTACATTTAGAAGATTCCAGAGATGGGTTTGACAAAACAGAAGAAACCCACTTGACAAAACTCTCATCAAGTTTCTGGGGTTGATCTTGAGGCGGTGAAAATGGCGGAGAAACTGAGCGAAGTGGTCGGCGAAAGGAGGAGAAGAAGAAGGTGGGTTTAATGGTGGAAAGTCTTTTCAAATCCATAAGAGAACGCATTTGAAGAACAAAGATTGGATGATTCAACTGAATAAATGCAACAGAAATGAGTATTTGTTTGCATTAGATTAAATTCATATTGAAAATTTCGTGTTTATATAAATTAATTTGAGCTTGAAAGTTGATCTTTGGAAGAATGGAGATTTAATAAGGCCACGACTAATATGTTTTAGAGGTGAAGAAGAGGAACACGAAGGAGGAGGAGAGAGAATGTTGTAGGTTTTGGGGAAGATTTCCGGGTTATAGTTACAAATCAATTACATGATCATGAAGGTGAGTGTTGGGGGAGTAAGCCCAACGCAAAGCCCACCTCTCTTGGGGTGCCCATATATTTATGAGCACGGGTATTGATACGGATACGAGAAAATATCAATATAAAAATAGGGGATATGAATGCAGAATGTTAAAATTCATATATACGTGACGTACACTTGGAATATTGTGATTTTCTCTTTTTTGGTTTTTTGATTTTATAAAATCAATTATATATGTCAAACTAGGTTAAGTCTCGTGCCATGCACGATTATAATTAACTTTGCAACAAAAATTATAAAGAATGATTTTTTCTTTATTTTGTGAGGGGAATAAAGAATGGTTGTTAATTTAACAATAATTTATCAAAAAAAAAATATTTGAGACAAAATAACTTGAATTTTAATTTATACCAAATGCGTAAAGGTTATTATTTTGAATTATTTTATAAAAAAAAATATTTAGTAATAGAAATTTAGAAGCTATTAGATTTTATATAAGAAAATGAAATTATAAGCTTAGGTTAGTACCCGTATATGTCTGGAAAAAAAAAGGTTAGGGCCTTTTCTCATTGACTGATCTCAGCTGAACTGAAATAAACTAAACTGAAATGAAATGAATGTTTTATAAGAGAAGGAAATTAGGAACTGAACTGAACTGAATTGGATTGAATATCAATGTATGAGAACAGACCCTTAGTACCCGTATACGAACTCATATACATTCGTCCTTATATTTTTGTTGACACACTTTGACCGGCATTAAATGAAAATTTAGTTGATTTTATATTACTTTAGGATAATTAGTATTCCGTAATCAACTTTTAAAAGATATATTTATAGTGAGTAGTAGCAGTTTTTATTTTAATTTTATTGCATAAAATGTGTAGAGTAATTAGATTGAAGTTTTCAATATATGGTTAGTTAAAATATTTTACTCTATTCATGTGTCATCATTTACTTAATTTATTTATTATATACATATATATATATATATGTATGTATGTATATATATATATATATATATATATATATATATATATAAAATCATAATTTTCAATAATCTCTAATAAAATATGTTGATAATTAAAGTTGTGTCTCGGCAAATGTGCAAATCCAATTCTAGTGTATAAAAAACGGAGGGAGTATAATATAATAAAATAATTTTGTTAAGTTGTTTGTATAGACGTTGTGTATAATTTTAAGATTCATACAAATTACGCGACCAAAATGATTTTTCTATTTTTAATGAAAATAAATTTTATTGTCAAATGATTAATGTTGGAGCTTGGACGAAAAAATTGATACTCCTTAATATTATAATAATATTGGACAATGATATATTTCAATACCTTATTTTTAATCTATGTTTGTATATTTGTAACTAAAAGATTAATAGTATATAGAATATATGTTAAAAAAATACTACGTATATTAATTGAGTATGATTGGATTAGATACGTTGTCAAAATAGAAATAAGTATTATTGTAACTTATAAAATGGAAGTCATTAAAATTTGGCAAAAAAATAAAAAAAAATAAAAAGGAAAGTGCAAAAAGGAGGGAAAATTATTAATGACATTGTGACAAGTGATTAGGGGATTTTTCCCCACCAATCACCATCTGACAAGTGGACCAATCATGTTCCGCCATGTGTCCGTCACATGGGCCAATAGGAGCCTGCCACGTGTCAAGCAATGATCCGTCCACCATGGACCAATTACGACACGACACGTGTCCTTCCCATGACACCTGGGATAACCGGTCACCTAGGCCCAACTTCCGAGGGAAGCCCAATCAGCCCAAGGTTAACCTAAACCTAGACTGACACGTTTCCCGAGGTTATAAATACCTCCCTTAATCCTCATTAAGGGAGATAACACGCTAAAAAGCAGATTACACACATTAAACACTCTCACCTAGAGAGACCCAATCACTTTTGATTAGGGGATTTTGCTCCCACCAATCGGAATGCGCCACGTGGGCCAATCAGGTCCTGCCAAGTGTCCCCCAGTTGGAACTGTCAGGGCTTGCCACGTGGCACGCGCTTATTCGTCCACCTTGGACCTGTTATGTCATGACATGTGGCATACTCCATGCCTAATGGAGAAACCGGCCACCCAGGCCCAACTTCCGAGGGAAGCCCAATCAGCCCTAGGTTAACCTAAACCTAGGATGGGCACGTTTCCCAAGGTTATAAATACCTCCCTTAATCCTCATTAAGGGGGATTACGAAAAAACACATTAATTACACACAGTAATAACCGGCTGATCTCGCTAACAAAGCAGATTACCTACATTAAACACTCTCACCTAGAGAGACCCAATCACTTTAATTTCCGCATTAATTACTCTTTAATCAAGTACTAACTTGACCGTTGGAGGCGGAGCTCCCAGGAGTCTCCGTTATTTTGCAGGTACAGGCGTCCGGTTCCAGTCTCGGAATTGTAACTCTCCCGCAGGACATCAGAAAACCCCGAAACAACTTTAATTTCCGCATTAATTACTCCTTAATCAAGTACTAACTTGACCGTCGGAGGCGGATCTCCAACCATCCGGAGCTTCCGTTTGTTAGGTACAGGCGTCCGGTTCCAGTCTCGGAATTGTAACTCTCCCGCAGGACATCAGAAAACCCCGAAACATTTGGCGCCGTCTGTGGGGAGAGTACTTCTGAGATGGCATCCACGTCTGTACCGACTCCTGAAGAGAGGCGTCCCCTAGACGACCCTCAAGTTCAGTCGGACCACGATACTGAGAATGAATTTGAAGTTGAAGCTCACACAGCTTCAGACGGGACCCTAAGGGCCCGACGTACCCGTCATACCGAAAGGAGGGAACGGGAACATCTTCAAACTGGAAGCGAGCCAGCAGGCGCACCGCCTGTTCGGCAGCAGCCGACTGATGGGTCTGCTCCCATCACAAGGAACGAACTCATGACCTTCATGAGGGACTTCAAGGGAGAAATTCAAGAGTTGATCAACAAGAAGCCGCCTGCTCTGGACAAGGAGCAGTCGGCTAAGAAACCCTCCACTTCACAGAAGAGGAAGCCAGTTCAAGGGCGAGAGGCGACTCCTCATCCTAAATCTAGGAAGCGGGAGCCGACTGCCCTTGATTTCACAAAATACCGTTTTCCTACTCCAGGAACTAGGAAACCTGTTCGTCATATTCAGGCTGACGGGTCGAGGAAAACATACACAGACGCTCGGCTACTGCTAGAGCAGAAGAAGAGTGACCGATTGTCAGAGTCGGCCTCTACTTCAAACTTCCAAGACAGTCTGCGAAATACCTCGATGAGGCATACTCAGTCGTATCATGAGAGTCAGTCAGGCGGCACCTCCCGTCAGTCTGGCTATCATAGCGACCAGGCGGTACCAAACTTACCGTTTGTACCGCAACAACATTATTTTTTACAGCCACCTCCGTTTGGTGGACATGCAGCAAAAAATGTCCAACCTATGGACTGGCAGCTACGGTTGCTTAGACTTGGTGAACAGCCGTCGACCTTCTCCAAGGAAATTACTGAAGCCGCTCAGTCGGCCAAAGTGAAAAATGTATTAGTAGGCGCCTATGACGGCACTACTAACCCAGAAGACCATCTGATGGCATTCACCAACCTGATGTACCTTCAAGGATTGGATGATCCCACTTGGTGCAAGTGTTTTCCAGCGACTCTCAAAGGAATCGCACAACAATGGTTCGGCAACCTGCCGACTGGTTGTGTAAATAACTTCAAGACGCTTGCTTACTTATTCACCTCCAACTTCGCCATGAACATCCCTACGAAGAAGACGACCCTTGATTTAGGAACAATTCAGCAGGGCGAGAAAGAGGGGCTTTGTTCTTACATCAGGCGGTTTAACCTGATGAGAATACAGATTCAAGGGTTACCGGATGAAGTAGCCTATACTGACTTTTTCAGAGGTCTCAAAGACGGGTCGACCTTCAAATTTGATTTGGTCCGAAAGAGGGTGGCGACTCTTCAAGAGGCCTTGATTGAAGCGGAAGCCTATATACAGGCGACTGATCTTTGTAGTACGGTAAAACAATCAGACGGGAAAAGGTCCGACAAAAGAGAAGGACGACAGAAACAGTCGTCAAACAAAGACGAGAAGAGAAAAGAGGTCTGGGCGACTGATTCCTCTAAACAGCCGGCCCAGAAAAAGAAAAAAGAATTCAAACCATACTCCCCAAAGTATGCGTATAAAAAGGATAGCCAGTTTATCCTAAAGGAAATCAAGGGACGGATCTCAATTGAGAAGCCGGTCCCCATGAAGGGTTCTGCAAACAACCGGAACCAAGAAAAATTCTGTGCTTATCATGAAGATGTTGGTCATCACACCAATGAATGCATCAGTCTCATGCGGTATCTGGACCGCCTGGCTGAGCAAGGGGATCTTGACACTTATGTCAAGAAATCTACGGGGAACACTTCCTCAAAAAAGCAGTCGGCCAAAAAGAATCGAAAGGCCGACAGCTCCGATACAGATGATGCAGTCGTCTACACCATTGCAGGCGGCTTCTCAGGAGGCGGCCCCACTATTAGGGGCAACAAAGACAATATCAGACGGTTAGATGTAAATTCCGTTCACCAAGAACGACCCTCCAAATATTCATTTCCTGAGATTGTCATCACTGAAGAAGATCTAGGAGGGGTAAGAGGGCCGCATGACGACCCTATCGTTATTGAATGTAAAGTGGCCAACCAGAGAGTTGGCCGAATCCTCATAGATACCGGAAGCTCCTCAGATCTCATCAGTAGCAAATGTCTGTCGAAACTAAAATATCAGACTGATTGCATACATCCGGCATCCCACCCTTTAGTAGGGTTTGGAAGAGGAGTCGTCCACCCAGTGGGACGAGTGGATTTACCCATCCGCCTGGGCGAAAAAGGAGAAGGACGACACATGGTAGTCCGGTTCCTGGTAGTAGAAGAACTCTCGGCCTACAACATGATTCTGGGACGACCAACCCTGAATAATTCCAAGGCTGTTATAATCCCATCTCTTATGTTGCTCAAGTTTGAGAGGGATAATGGAACAGT